TGCTCTTCTTCACCCCAACCTGCTCTTCTTCACCCCAACCTGCTCTTCTTCACCCCAACCTGCTCATTCTTCACCCCAACCTGCTCTTCTTCACCCCAACCTGCTCTTCTTCACCCCAAACCTGCTCTTCTTCACCCCAACCTGCTCTTCTTCACCCCAACCTGCTCTTCTTCACCCCAACCTGCTCTTCTTCACCCCAACCTGCTCTTCTTCACCCCAACCTGCTCTGCTTCACCCAAACCTGCTCTTCTTCACCCCAACCTGCTCTTCTTCACCCCAACCTGCTCTTCTTCACCCCAACCTGCTCTTCTCACCCCCAACCTGCTCTTCTTCACCCCAACCTGCTCTTCTTCACCCCAACCTGCTCTTCTTCACCCCAACCTGCCTTCTTCACCCAACCTGGCTACTTCTTCACCCCAACCTGCTCTTCTGCACCCCAACCTGCTCTTCTTCACCCCAACCTGCTCTTCTTCACCCCACCTGCTCTTCTTCACTCCACTCCACCTGCTCTTCTTCACCCCAACCTGCTCTTCTTCACCCCAACCTGCTCTTCTTCACCCCAACCTGCTCTTCTTCACCCCAACCTGCTCTGTCTTCACCCAACCTGCTCTTCTTCACCCCAACCTGCTCTTCTTCACCCCAACCTGCTCTTCTTCACCCCAACCTGCTCTTCTTCACCCCAACCTGCTCTTCTTCACCCCAACCTGCTCTTCTTCACCCCAACCTGCTCTTCTTCACCCCAACCTGCTCTTCTTCACCCAACCTGCTCTTCTTCACCCCAACCTGCTCTTCTTCACCCCAACCTGCTCTTCTTCACCCCAACCTGCTCTTCTTCACCCCAACCTGCTCTTCTTCACCCCAACCTGCTCTTCTTCACCCCAACCTGCTCTTCTTCACCCCAACCTGCTCTTCTTCACCCCAACCTGCTCTTCTTCACCCCAACCTGCTCTTCTTCACCCCAACCTGCTCTTCTTCACCCCAACCTGCTCTTCTTCACCCCAACCTGCTCTTCTTCACCCCACCCCAACCTGCTCTTCTTCACCCCAACCTGCTCTTCTTCACCCCAACCTGCTCTTCTTCACCCCAACCTGCTCTTCTTCATCACCCCAACCTGCTCTTCTCACCCCAACCTGCTCTTCTTCACCCCAACCTGCTCTTCTTCACCCCAACTGCTCTTCTTCACCCAACCTCTCTTCTTCAACCCCACCCTGCGCTTCTTCACCCAACCTGCTCTTCTTCACCCAACCTGCTCTTCTTCACCCCAACTGCTCTTCTTCAACCCCAACCTGCTCTTCTTCACTCCAACTCAACCTGCTCTTCTTCACCCCAACCTGCTCTTCTTCACCCCAACCTGCTCTTCTTCACCCCAACCTGCTCTTCTTCACCCCAACCTGCTCTTCTTCACCCCAACCTGCTCTTCTTCACCCCAACCTGCTCTTCTTCACCCCAACCTGCTCTTCTTCACCCCAACCTGCTCTTCTTCACCCCAACCTGCTCTTCTTCACCCCAACCTGCTCTTCTTCACCCCAACCTGCTCTTCTTCACCCCAACCTGCTCTTCTTCACCCCAACCTGCTCTTCTTCACCCCAACCTGCTCTTCTTCACCCCAACCTGCTCTTCTTCACCCCAACCTGCTCTTCTTCACCCCAACCTGCTCTTCTTCACCCCAACCTGCTCTTCTTCACCCCAACCTGCTCTTCTTCACCCCAACCTGCTCTTCTTCACCCCAACCTGCTCTTCTTCACTCCAACCTGCTCTTCTTCACCCCAACCTGCTCTTCTTCACTCCCAACCTGCTCTTCTTCACCCCAACCTGCTCTTCTTCACCCAACCTGCTCTTCTTCCTCCCAACCTGCTCTTCTTCACCCCAACCTGCTCTTCTTCACCCCAACCTGCTCTTCTTCACCCCAACCTGCTCTTCTTCACCCCAACCTGCTCTTCTTCACCCAACCTGCTCTTCTTCACCCCAACCTGCTCTTCTTCACCCCAACCTGCTCTTCTTCACCCCAACCTGCTCTTCTTCACCCCAACCTGCTCTTCTTCACCCAACCTGCTCTTCTTCACCCAACCTGCTCTTCTTCACCCCAACCTGCTCTTCTTCACCCCAACCTGCTCTTCTTCACCCCAACCTGCTCTTCTTCACCCCACCTGCTCTTCTTCACCCCAACCTGCTCTTCTTCACCCCAACCTGCTCTTCTTCACCCCAACCTGCTCTTCTTCACCCCAACCTGCTCTTCTTCACCCCAACCTGCTCTTCTTCACCCCAACCTGCTCTTCTTCACCCCAACCTGCTCTTCTTCACCCCAACCTGCTCTTCTTCACTTCCCCAACCTGCTCTTCTTCACCCCAACCTGCTCTTCTTCACCCCAACCTGCTCTTCTTCACCCCAACCTGCTCTTCTTCACCCCAACCTGCTCTTCTTCACCCCAACCTGCTCTTCTTCACCCCACCTGCTCTTCTTCTTCACCCCAACCTGCTCTTCTTCACCCAACTCTGCTCTTCTTCACCCAACCTGCTCTTCTTCACCCCAACACTGCTCTTCTTCACCCAACCTGCTCTTCTTCAACCCCAACCTGCTCTTCTTCACCCCAACCTCTCTCTTCACCCCAACCTGCTCTTTCTTCACCCCACCTGCTCTTCTTCACCCAACCTGCCTCTTCTTCACCCCAACCTGCTCTTCTTCACCCCAACCTGCTCTTCTTCACCCCAACCTGCTCTTCTTCCCCCAACCTGCTCTTCTTCACCCAACCTGCTCTTCTTCACCCCAACCTGCTCTTCTTCACCCCAACCTGCTCTTCTTCCACCCAACCTGCTCTTCTTCACCCCAACCTGCTCTTCTTCACCCCAACCTGCTCTTCTTCACCCAACCTGCTCTTCTTCACCCCAACCTGCTCTTCTTCACCCCAACCTGCTCTTCTTCACCCCAACCTGCTCTTCTTCACCCCAACCTGCTCTTCTTCACCCCAACCTGCTCTTCTTCACCCAACCTGCTCTTCTTCACCCCAACCTGCTCTTCTTCACCCCAACCTGCTCTTCTTCACCCCAACCTGCTCTTCTTCACCCCAACCTGCTCTTCTTCACCCCAACCTGCTCTTCTTCACCCCAACCTGCTCTTCTTCACTCCAACCTGCTCTTCTTCACCCCAACCTGCTCTTCTTCACCCAACCTGCTCTTCTTCACCCAACCTGCTCTTCTTCACCCCAACCTGCTCTTCTTCACCCCAACCTGCTCTTCTTCACCCCAACCTGCTCTTCTTCACCCCAACCTGCTCTTCTTCACCCCAACCTGCTCTTCTTCACTCCCAACCTGCTCTTCTTCACCCCACCCCACCTGCTCTTCTTCACCCCAACCTGCTCTTCTTCACCCCAACCTGCTCTTCTTCACCCCAACCTGCTCTTCTTCACCCCAACCTGCTCTTCTTCACCCCAACCTGCTCTTCTTCACCCCAACCTGCTCTTCTTCACTCCAACCTGCTCTTCTTCACCCCAACCTGCTCTTCTTCACCCCAACCTGCTCTTCTTCACCCCAACCTGCTCTTCTTCACCCCAACCTGCTCTTCTTCACCCCAACCTGCTCTTCTTCACCCCAACCTGCTCTTCTTCACCCCAACCTGCTCTTCTTCACCCCAACCTGCTCTTCTTCACCCCAACCTGCTCTTCTTCACTCCAACCTGCTCTTCTTCACCCCAACCTGCTCTTCTTCACTCCAACCTGCTCTTCTTCACTCCAACCTGCTCTTCTTCACTCCAACCTGCTCTTCTTCACTCCAACCTGCTCTTCTTCACTCCAACCTGCTCTTCTTCACTCAGCATCTCGACACACTTTTAATCCAACTTGTTTTCTTGCCTTCTTCCATGGCTCCTAGCCAAGCGCTTATTTCAGCAAGGAATCACCTTTTTGTGACATCTTAGCCTAATTAGGTCAATCCAGAATGGGCATGGTAACTTGACCTCGGCTTGCATCTCTGTGCAGTCTCTCTTTTTGTTGGCCTCTTGCATCCAGAATGCACTCCTTGCAGCTCACCTTCCTTCCACTTACTCCTCCTGCCTCTCACTCCTCCCCCTTCCCTTCTCCCATCTCTCCCCCACTTCCCCCCCCCACTTCTCCCCCCCCCGCTTCTCCCCATGTGCTTGTCTCTCATGCGCCTAGCAGCTGCTGCCGCTGCTCTTCTCGGAGGGCGGCAGTGCACGCAAGCTGGTGGAGGCCGACTTTTGAGTCGACTCAAAATTCTTCTCCCCCCCACGCCGCCCCCCCACGTCTCCCCATGTGCGTGTCTCTCGCGCGCCTAGCAGCTGCTGCCGCTGCTCTTCTTGGAGGGCGGCAGTGCACGCAAGCTGGTGGAGGCCGACTTTTGAGTCGACTCAAAATTCTTCTCCCCCCCACTTCTCCCCCCCCCCCCGCTTCTCCCCATGTGCGTGTCTCTCGCGCGCCTAGCAGCTGCTGCCGCTGCTCTTCTCGGAGGGCGGCAGTGCACGCAAGCTGGTGGAGGCCGACTTTTGAGTCGACTCAAAATTCTTCTCCCCCCCACGCCGCCCCCCCCACGTCTCCCCATGTGCGTGTCTCTCGCGCGCCTAGCAGCTGCTGCCGCTGCTCTTCTCGGAGGGCGGCAGTGCACGCAAGCTGGTGGAGGCCGACTTTTGAGTCGACTCAAAATTCCTCTCCCCCCCACGCCGCCCCCCCCACGTCTCCCCATGTGCGTGTCTCTCGCGTGCCTAGCAGCTGCTGCCGCTGCTCTTCTCGGAGGGCGGCAGTGCACGCAAGCTGGTGGAGGCCGACTTTTGAGTCGACTCAAAATTCTTCTCCCCCCCACGCCGCCCCCCCACGTCTCCCCATGTGCGTGTCTCTCGCGCGCCTAGCAGCTGCTGCCGCTGCTCTTCTCGGAGGGCGGCAGTGCACGCAAGCTGGTGGAGGCCGACTTTTGAGTCGACTCAAAATTCTTCTCCCCCTCACTTCTCCCCCCCCCCGCTTCTCCCCATGTGCGTGTCTCTCGCGCGCCTAGCAGCTGCTGCCGCTGCTCTTCTCGGAGGGCGGCAGTGCACGCAAGCTGGTGGAGGCCAAGGGGCTGCTGCAGGTGAGGCAAGGCGCTGCTGCAGGTGAGGCAAGGCGCTGCTGCAGGTGAGCGGATGAGAGGCGCAGCGGTGAGGTGTGATTTTGAAGGGCGTGATCAAATCAGTTGTGTGTATACACGGACAGAGTGTGCCACACAGCAGTTTAATATTTCACAATGCAACAACAAACCCACCTTGTTTCGTCGTCGCTTTATCACCTTAGGCCGATTCAGAAAACGTGTCTGGAGTTTCCAAAAAAAAAAAAAAACTGAATTTGACACCACTGTTGGACATTTACTTTCGTCTCGCTTGACTCTCTGCACTTGCATGGCTGCGAGTATGTTCTCAACCATATGGCAAACCCTGTCTGTCCTACTTGCTCTCAGCCGAAGTGGGAGACTGTGTTGAAACACTTGGTGCATTGCCAAGCCATGAACACTGGAGATGATGAGATCCATGTCGGGCTCGTGGCACCTGTGTGTTCCGAGCAGAGATGCCCCACCTTTGTGTTCCGAGCAGAGATGCCCCACCTGTGTGTTCCGAGCAGAGATGCCCCACCTGTGTGTTCCGAGCAGAAATGCCCCACGCCCTTTGAAGGCTCTTTGCTGCCTGCTTCCTGAGAGGAGCCACCCCTCACCCTCTCCATGACCTGCCCGCCCCCCCATGTGCGCATGCTGCGGTGAGATGGCGTGGCATGGCGTGGCGTGGCGTGGCGTGGCGTGGCGTGGCGTGGCGTGGCGTGGCGTGGCGTGGCGTGGCGTGACGTGGCATGGCATGGCATGGCATGGCGTGGCGTGGCATGGCATGGCATGGCATGGCATGGCATCAGATCTCAGACGAGGCGGCCATAGAGCGGATGGTGGAGGAGGTGCTGGCGGGCAACCCCAAGCAGGTGGAGCAGTTCCGCGCTGGCAAGACCAAACTGCAGGGCTTCTTCACCGGGCAGGTGGGCTTCTTCACCGGGCAGGTGGGCTTCTTCACCGGGCAGGTGGGCTATTCACCGGGCAGGTGGGCTTCTTCACCAGGCAGGTGGGCTTCTTCACCGGGCAGGTGGGCTTCTTCACCGGGCAGGTGGGCTTCTTCACCGGGCAGGTGGGCTACTTCACCGGGCAGGTGGGCTTCTTCACCGGGCAGGTGGGCTTCTTCACCGGGCAGGTTGGTGGGCTAGTGATTGAGAGAGCAGTTGGGTTGCATGAGGAAGCAGGTGGGTTGCGTGAGAGAGCAGGTGGGTTGCTTGAGAGAGCAGGTGGGTTGCGTGAGAGAGCAGGTGGGTTGCTTGAGAGAGCAGGTGGGTTGAATGAGGGAGCAGGTGTGTTGCGTGAACAGCTGGGCGAGAATGGGGCGCCGAGTTGTGAGGGGATTGAGGTGTGAGGGAATTGAGGTGTGAGGGAATTGAGGTGTGAGGGAATTGAGGTGTGAGGGAATTGAGGTGTGAGGGAATTGAGGTGTGAGGGAATTGAGGTGTGAGGGAATTGAGGTGTGAGGGAATTGAGATGTGAGGGAATTGAGGTGTGAGGAAATTGAGGTGTGAGGGAATTGAGGTGTGAGGAAATTGAGGTGTGAGGAAATTGAGGTGTGAGGAATTTGAGGTGTGAGGGAATTGAGGTGTGAGGGAATTGAGGTGTGAGGAGTTTCTCCTTAGACTGCTTGTGCTCGTCGCAGCATGTAATCATGTTCATTGTTGCAGCTGTATATCGTCGCATTCTGTCATAGTGTGTGCATCCTTCTGTCCCTCTATCCATGCATGTGGTATGCATGTGGTATGCCTGTGGTATGCAATCATGTTCCCATGCTCTTTGGCAGGTAATGAAGGCATCGGGGGGTCGAGTGAATCCGGCACTCATGAACAAGATTTTAATGAAGAAGCTTCACGCATCATCGTGACACATGGGATGGACCAAGGCGATTGCAAAACGTATCCCCCTTAGGGCGTGTAAAATTGTAATAACCAAACGAAACAGTCGACCATTTGCGGCTTTCTAGCGATTGCGAAGAATTTAAGGTAACGCCGACAGATGAGCATACATATATCAATGGTACTGTAATCTCCCGGCAATAAGCCTTTGGGCTGGAGGTCTTATGAATAGTGCTTGGGTGGACAATAGAGAGTTAATAAGACCCTTGAACATGTTAAAATCGCATCGCATATAAATGATGCAATACGAATTTCAGGAACTGGCTTCACACGCAGGGGTGCAAAATTGAGTTCATGTTGCAGATTTGCTTGACTGCAATCATGTACAGAAACTGCCACGCGGCACACGTTTGGGCCCACGTTGAATGCTCCTGGCCAGGGTGGCCCCATTTCCATCCCTGCCAAGTTGGCAAGCTTTTCAGCTGGAAGCATCAGCAGCACGATAGAGGGACCCCGCAAGAAGCTTCCTGCCTTGCCAGCCGCGATAGAGGAACCCCCGCGATACCGCGATGCTACTGTAATAATAGCTATTGAAAGTAGGGGGTCTTGTAAATTTTAAACAGCAAAGACGGTCCTCAAGAAAACAGGACCGTAGTCTGGGAAGAAAGACCCGGGGGCCTCTACGCGGAGGGGGCTTATTGCCAGGAGATTATGGCGAGTCAGGCAATTGAGTAATTTCATTATTCCTCATCCAGCCGAAATATGTACAACAGTTTGTCCTGACCAGGGCTTAGGTTTGGATTCTGCCTACTCACGATTGGCAGTGTAGCTGTTTCAATAACCCTTCTGAGCAGTGTGTATTTTTTCATTACGGATCAGTGTAACCATGAGTTTTGGAAATTTTCCCTGCAACAGCAGTGTGAGTTTCCATGGCGTGCTGGAAAGGGAAAACAGACACGAGTCCAAACAGACACGAGACACGAGACACGAGACCAACGAACATCGACACGAGAGACGAGACCAATCAGACACGAGACTGCTGCCAACAAACAGACTGCACGGAAGGAAACATCGGTACGTGCGTGATTAACGGAGACCACGAACTGACGGATTTCTGGGGGGGAGGGGGGCTGTACGCTCTTCAGTGTAATCTTTGCTAAGGGAAAAGTTACCCCAATGCATCAGTGTGGCCTACAGCGTTACACTGACATATCAGTGTAATAGTAATTCTCCAAAAAAAAACCCAAACACATCAGTGTAAGCCCAAAATTTCACCCTTATAACAGCGTAGAAGGGTAAATTACACTGATAACGAGAGCCCCTAGAATAAACTTAACTAGCATGTCCTATTACTGCCTACAAGTCATCATGAGTTCCCAACAGCAGCTGGGCTGGGAGTTGTTCAGTCAGTGACACCACCATTGTTCCAACACACCATTAGTGTTGTAGCCTATGTATACAGTATATGCTCCCAACAGCAGCTGGGAGTTGAGTGCAGGCATTGTTACGCAGGCTCTTTCAGGAGCTCCTTCTGTGCGCCCTGCTGCTGCTGCAACCTGGCCTTGCCTGCATCTCATGCACCAAACCCTCTCTCCTCCCCGCCTGCTGCTTGAACCCCTCTCTGCCACACACGTCACTTGCCACTGCTCTGCCACCTGCTGCCTTCACACCCCCCTGCCTTCCACCTGCTGCCTTCCCTGCTGCTCCCTCCGCACACACATCCTCATCTCTCCTCTTTACCCCACTCGCGTGTCCGCTGCTGGCCTTGCCAGCTGCTCCCACTGATGATGCAGCACCACGTGATCCCACAACTGCTGCTGTTGCTGCACCACGTGGGGCAGGCCTTGGCTTCTGTGCTACTGCTGCACATGGAGAAGCGCCTGAATGCGTGCTGCTGCCCTTGCCACCCTTCACACCAGTGCTCACCGCCTGGCTACTGCATCCATTCCTTCTCTTCGCAGTTGCACCCCCCACCTTACAACTTGCCGTAACAGCAGGACTCGATTCCTGCGTTGCTGCTGCAGCTCCTCTCATTGCGGATGCCGCAACAGGTGGTTTCACTGTTGTTGCTGCTGCTGTAGAGGGAGCAGCTGGTGCTGTGGACATTGCTACAGTTGCTGCTGTTGCAGACGCAGGAGGAACAGTTTTACCAGGCACAATCCAGGCAGGCAGGGAGGCTTCAATGGCAGCTTCAATGTCCCTGGCCCACGTCGCCTGGTCCAGCTTGGCCCATCTCAAGTAAGCAGCACGTGCTCTCAACTTTTTGACCCAGTCACAATCCATGGCTCGAACCTCCTGACGCAGCTTGTCCCACCTCGCTTTCTCACTCGGATCAGCAGCGCATGCATTCGTCTCCTCGAATTTTGCTTCTGTGGTCACACACGCTTCAGGCACCTGTGGTGTGGTTGAAGCCACTGGAGCCACAGGCGCTACCTCAGGCACCACCACAGGCGCAACCACAGCAGACGGTGTCACTGCAGCAGTAGCAGATGGTGTGAAGGGAGCAGCAGTGACGACCACAGGTGCAAGCACAGCAGCAGCAGGCTTGCCTCCGAAGCGGCCGATTCCAGGCCGCTTCACATCAGGTGCGTCAGGTACAACTTGCACCTTCAAGGTCGGCTTGTGCTGCCCGTCAGCAAGGCGCTTCGCAAGATTCTCCAGAAGCGGCCTCATGCTCTTCAGAAGCACGCTGCTGCAGCACGTCTCACCGTCGCCGTTGCGAGCAGCAGCAGGAAGTTGCAGATCAACCACCTTCTCAATGGTAGGCTTGACAAGAGAATATGATGCTGTAGGCGAGAACACAGTTCGAGGAGTGCCGAACCTGCCAATGCCTCGGGTAGGCGTGGCAGGACTCGAACTTGAAGATCCCGAGTTGAAGCTCTTCGCTGCTCCGTTGTTAACAAGGCAGCAGTCCATGATATTAGATAACAGATCGCTTCACAGAAGCTTGGTACGAGGACAGCAACAAGAACTGAAAGCTGTGAGTGTTGAGCTCCCAGCAGAGAGTGACTGGGGGTACTGAAAAAGCAGATCCAAAGATCCCACGGGTAAGATCAGCAGATCAGGAGAAGAAGATTTGCGAATGAAAAGATGGAACCTTTGCAACCCCATTTCTACCCCTCTGCTAAAAAACAAGCCTCTGTCTGAACATTGGAGTTTCACCCCCGACCTGCCTCGCTGACCGCTGCTCTGTACGCCACGCCAGATGCTTTCAGAGTGGGTCGAAATAACAGAGAAGTTGCGCTGCAGCCATTCTCGAGGCGGCTTTGATTGGGGTTTCAGATTCGTGTTTCATCGAGTCGCCTGAGCTACAATCCCGCCAACTTTTGAAACCAACGGACCAGTCAGCGAAGGGGAATCATTTCGCAAGGCCATGGCACTGCCGCACGCGACGGATTCGGCGAACGAACGATGGTTCGGGATTCATTTTCGTGCGTAGTCGAAACGCCTCGTTTCGTTGGCGCCGTTTTTCGTCACAAAGCTATCTACTAACGCGAATCTAAAACCTGCAAATGTTACCATGTTTGGTACTAGCGAGTGTTACTGCGACTGTCACTACTGGTGAGCACATGGAGCCTTCATCACTTACGAACTAGCTCTGTGCGACGGATCTGGGCGACAGATCCGCCGTTGGAGGAGGAACTCGGGTATTTGTGGCTGGCTCCAGCTGGAAGGCATTGGAACTACCGAAGAAGGGGTACAAGAGCAGAATATGTTCACTTTATTGAGCTTAAAGATTTTGTTGTCAGAAGGTTCTATTATCATATCCTTCTGCTCTAAAACCATCACAATAGAATTTAATGATAATACGTTATGTTACGTGGAATAATAGGTAGCGAAAATCTTGCCATGTGCAAACAGCCTGAATTATAATTTAATCGATTTCTACAAAAAAAAAGACATGCTTTGGATACGGAGCGAAATAGCATTGTTACGATGATATAAATCAAATTATAGTTTTTAAAATATAAAATCATTTCAATGACCTATTTTTATCACTATCATTTTTTTTTATTTTCAAAACAAGTCCTTTTTTATTCACATTTTTACAGTTCTCTCTAGTATAGTTGAAGCACGAGGTGATTGACATTATTATAGCGAAGCTGTTAATACTGATGAGACGCATACCATACGTCAGATCATAGCAGGTGTAGGTACGGTCCGAACCTGAAAATCCTGCTTTTGATTGGTCGACGTGGAGAAAATGTCTGCGCGGGAAAACTCTGTCAGGCGAAGCACGGCAAATTGTTTTGGCTTGATGAGATGAAGCACCCAGACAGCACATCCTCGCTGCTGTTTTAGGAGTCTCGCGCAGCGCGAAACCTGGCGCCTCAGTGCAATCCTCACAGCCAGTAGCCGAGCAGCATAGCCTAGCGGCCTGACGACGCAATCCCAGCAATACGAACTTAGAAGGAAATTCCTCCTCTTTCCGCGGCGCGTTCCGACACTCTAGTAGCGCATTCGGTAAAAATTACTTCTCAACAATGATCAGCGAGGTTTGCCCGTGACGAGCTCCCAGATCCTGATATAGAGCCTTTAGGGAGAAACTCTGTTACTTACCGCGTTACTAAAAGCGAGTCGGTGAAGCGCGATGGATGGCCATAACGTTGAATGACGGAGCCTCCTAGCGACCCGCCGGTAGTGAAATTGAATTTCAAGTAGTGACTTGAGCGCCAATGGCGCTGACGGTTGATGACGCGATCGCGACGCTGTTCACGCTGACTCAGCATGACGAGCAGCCGGGCGTGCAGGGCCTCACGTCCACCATGGTGTACGACGCATCGTACAGGACGTCGTACACAGGTATCATGTCATACAGCAAGTAGTACGCAAGGTCGCCAGCCTTCGTTTCATCCCGATTTTTCACCCCGCGACTGTTATCCCTCTTCTTTCACCTGCCTTTCACCTCCCGTCGCCATCCCCTCCCCTCACGCCACCGCCTACTTCCGTCCACCCTAACGTCCAGAGGTGGCTGCGAGGTGGCTGTCCCTTCCAGCTGTCCCTTCCAGCTGTCCCTTTCAGCTGTCCCTTCCAGCTGTCCCGTCCAGCTGTCCCTTTCAGCCGTCCTTTTCAGCTGACCCTTTCAACTGTCTCCTTACCCCCCTTTTCCCCTCGTCGTCACCCCCTCTTTCACCCTCCGTCCCCCTTTCTCGTCATTCGGTGGTCATCCCATCCACCCAAATCCCCCTCCAGAATACGCGGAGGTGGCGGCGTTCCAGCTGTCCCTGGAGGACGACACTGCCGCCATCAACCAGCTGGTGAGGGTGTGGACGGGAGGGGCAGGGGAGGGGACCCACCGAGTGTGGGAGTGTGGGAGTGAGGGAGAGAGGGTGTGGATAGAGAGCAGGGAGCCGAGGTGGCGGCGTTCCAGCGGTACAGACGTCTCAACCAGCTGGTGAGGGGCGGGGAGGGAAGGGAGTGAGAGAGGTGGGAAGGGAGAGAGGGAGAGGGAGAGGAGAGAGGGAGAGGGAGGGAAGAGGAGGAGAGATGGGAGAGCAGGGAGGGGACCCACCAAGTGTGGGAGAGAGAGGGAGTGCGTAGAAAGCAGGGAGGGGAGGTGGCGGCCTTTCAGCTGCCCTTGCAGGCGACACTGCCACCATCAACCAACTGGTGAGGTGATGGGGCAGCACGGGGCAGGGGAGGGAGGGAGGGGAGATAAAGAGAGAAGAGGGGGGAGGGAGGGGAAGGAGGGGAGAGGGAGGGGAGGGTGGAGAGGAAGGAAAATTATTCTGACTGATGGAGAGATGTAAACATGCAAGCCTCCAGGTGACTGGTGAATGGGCCTACAAGACAGACAGGGGTGTTGAGGGGATGGAGTAGGCAGATCAGCAAACCTGCATAGTCGTTTGGCAACACTGGCGCGGATGCATGTCAGCAAGCACTCGGGTGACTTTTGAGTCGACTCAAAAGTCACCTCGTTACAATGGCACAGGATGCATGTCAGCAAGCACTGACATGAATTTGTTTCAAAAGTCACTGATATTGTTTTTTATTCAAACGGTAAACTCCATCTGCTTACTTCTGGTCCTCTGACTGCAATCCCCCTCTGTTTTGTCTCTCCTCCTCTTCTTTCTCATTCTTCACTCCTCCGTCTTCTATCCCTCTACCCTCTTCTAACACCCATCATCCCATCCCGTGCATATGCCTTCACTGCAGGACGCCCTGTTGGCTGATGGCAAAGACGCTCTCGCATCGCTCTACACCTACCGCAGCGTTTCCAAGTCCTTTCCTGAGGTAGTACACGTGGCAATTGATTTGAGGCAGTGATCCAGCACCCAGCTGCCAGCAGGGCGCAAGTCTAGCATCGCTCGACTCTGTGTGTGTGCCCGCCACAGCGCTGGTAAGGCCTTTGATGAGGCAGGGCGCCTCTCAGGTCTGCACGGTCAGGTAGCTGCAGAGGGAGGCAGCTGCACAGGCAGGTAGCTGCAGAGGCAGGTAGCTGCAGAGGGAGGCAACTGCAGAGGGAGGTAGCAGAGCATAGGAATCTTCCTCTTTCACTTTAAGAGGGCGTCTTGCCTCCTATGCTCCACGGTCTGTAAGAGTCCTACAAACACCCTTCATTGCTAATCTTGAACCCTCTCCCGTTGCTCATCTCTCCCTTCCCTGTTTTTCTGCTACCCACTGCCTCCCTGCAGTCTGTGCAAGCTCTGGACGAGAATGCAGAGCCAGGTCTTCTGCAGGAGGCGTTTGCGCTTGTAGATGTGGAGATCCAGCGGCTGAGAGACATCCATCTGTGGCAGATGCGAGCACAGTCGTTGATTGCTGCGGACCTGCAGCGATTCTCAGGGGAGATGACCGGGCCTACCCTCACACACCTGTGGTGAGTCATGCAGCATGGCATGCAGCAATGCATGTCACCCAGTGAGCCACTTTTGAGGTGCCTAAAAAAACGATTCTCAGGGGAGATGACCGGGCCCACCCTCACACACCTGTGGTGAGCCATGCTGGCAGGTCATGCAACAATGCAGGTTTGCTTATCTGCTTTTCTCGCACATTCTCCTTCAGCAGCTGCTTTATGTGCGCTGGAAGTTGTGGTGGGCTTCTGGAAGCTCTCGTTGTTGTCTGTGATGTCGTGTGCATAGGCTGTTTATTTATTCCGCTGTGCACTGCACTACACTGCACCGCACCGCACCGCACCGCACTGCACCCAATCCCACAGGAGCCTGCGGAGGGTGCTGGGCTCGTGTCTGCTCCTGGATCTGCTGAAGCGCACCAAGGCAGCGCCGCTCTCTGACCTTTTAAATGACTCATAAGCCACTGTGCTTGACACACACTCCACCACACTCCACTGCACTCCACCGCATTCCGCCCCCCCACAGGAGCCTGCTGAGGGTGCTGGACACGTGTCTGCTGCTGGATCTTCTCAAGCACACCAAGGCAGCTCCGCTCCCTGACCTGCTCTGGTTCAGACGGTGAGAAGCCATGCCTTGTCTGCCTTGGATACTCCCAATGCCTTCAATCCTTCCATGCCTTGCATTCCTCTCGTGCCCCACTTCCGCTCCTCCTCTGCTTCCTCTCCTCTTTCCGCTACACTGCTTCCAAAATATTAACTCATTCAGGTCTGTTATGTTCAACGTTTTCCCCCCCCGCCTTCCCTGCATCCGCTTCCGCACTTCCCCCCCTTTCCCCCTCTTCCCCATTGTTGTTCTCTGCACGGTTCTGACTGCCTCACATCAGAGCGGTGCAGAGTGGTCGAGTCGATGCCGCAAAGGGTTCGGACACTGACAGTGATCTGGAGGTAGGCCAATGGCAGGCTGTTCAAGCTGCCGGTCGGTCGTGAAATCGAACGTCCATTGTCACTTAGTATGAGTGTGCCTTTCACCCTTTGAGGAGTAAAAGTTTCAGGTTCCTCAGAAGCTGCTTGTCGGTTATGATCGTGCATCGTATCTTAGTTAGAGTGCGCATTTCACACTTCGAGGAGACGTGCAGGTGCATGCAGAGTAGCTCTCTAGTTTTGAGGAGAATAGGTGTCTAGGCCAACATTTTGTAGTACTAAAAAGCGGGGAAATTTCAAAAGTGATTCCAGTATATATCAACAACACCCTAACAGTGTTCTCCAGATCTTCAAGTGTTGCCTGTCAAGTCCTTCTGCCCCCACCTTCCCTTCCACTGACCTGTTACTCAATAAATACCCACAAACTGGCTTGTCAATCCCCACCAACACTCCTGTGCCTGCCATTTCTCCCCTCACCCACACCAGGAATTTTGGAGCAAGCGCTGGGCCGTCCTTTCCAGCCTGCAGGTCGGCATCCCAGGCAACGAAACGTGCGTGCTGTGCAGTGCCGTGCTGTGCAGTGCAGTGCTGTGCTGTGCCATCCGATCCGGTCCAGTTTCGGTCCGGTGCGGTGCGGTGCGGTCCGGTCCGGTCCACTCCAGTCCAGTTTCGTCTCGTCGGAACCAACTTGGTCTGGTCCTGTCCGGTCTGGCTCGGTCCCTCCCAGTCCCCTCCAGCCCACATTCAGTATATGATGAGTGCATTTGCGTCTTAGCCAACGAAACATGCATTGCTGTCCAGTAAGCCATTTCAAGGTACTTCCGCAACACAACTCACCATTTATCGCAGCAGAATCGTTCCCTCTCTTGCTCACGGCCCCCCTTTCTTTCCCCTCTCTAGCCACTGACCACACCCCCATTTCCTCTGGCTTCCAGCCAGTTTGCACTAAGGAGCTCTGAATAGCTCATGGTGGTTGCCCGGGCATTAAAGATAGGGGCCGCACGCTGCTGTTTTTATCATTTACCTCCACCGTCCAATCCCTTGCCTCCTGGGTGCCTGCTCCGCATTCTTTCTCCTTCCAGTGTGGAGGAGTTTTTCGTGCAGCTCATGGTGGTGGCAACGGGCACCATAGAGAGCGGCCGCACGCTGCTGTTTGCCGACCGCCTCATGCTGCTGCGAGTGCTGCCAGTGCTCATATCCCTCGCCGCACGCACCGAGGCTGAGGCAGACACGCTGTTCCGCCGGAGAGTCAAGCTTGACCGCCTTCTCAGACTCTTCAAGGTGGGTGGGTGGGTGCATGTGAGTGTGTGTGTGCGTGCGTGCGTGCGTGCGTGCCTGCCTGCGCGTGTGTGTGTGTGTGTGTGTGTGTGTGTGCTTCTTTGTTTTGGAGAGTCTCAACACTTGCTGTCATCTCAACTTATATTCCTGCCATGTCATACGCACCAACTCATTCTCTTTCTGCCATGCCTTGGCATCGCTACTTCCTTCGCTCCTGCTCTCTGCATCTTCTTCTCCTCATATCTCCTCTTTCTCTCCCCACCACACATGTCTCCAGTGCGAGCCCCTAGTGGCAGGCTACAAGGATGTACCCTTCACCCTCACGTCTCTGCTTGCTTACATGCCATGCTATGCAATGCTTTAATCACGCATCACTCTCTTTCGAGACGTCTCAAAAATCTACTCTGCATGCAGACGTCTCTGTCTCAAAAATCTACTCTGCATGCAGACGTCTCTGTCTCAAAAATCTACTCTGCATGCAGACGTCTCTGTCTCAAAAATCTACTTTCTACATGCAGTGCTTTAATCACGCATCACTCTCTTTCGCTTTCCACCACACATCTCTCCAGCGTGAGCCCCTAGTGGCAGGCTACAAGGAGGTACCATTCGCCCTCGCGTCTCTCCTGCCAGACCTCTCGCCGTTCTTCCGCAAGCTGTGTGTTGAGAAGGGCGTGCTGCTGCCCATACCAAGCAACATGGACGCAAAGGAAGGTGGGTGAGGGAATTATTGGAGGAAAGAAGTGGTGATGAGGTGTAGAGGGGCTGTTTTATCTCAACCTCCCCGCCTCTCTCAATTCTTCTGCAAGCTGTGTGTGGAGAAGGGCGTGCTGCTGCCCGTGCCCAGCAACATGGACGCCAAGGAAGGTGGGTGAGGGGAGGACGGGATGAGAGAGATAGCAATGTGATGTGGTGGTGGAGACGGGCAGTGACATACATGCAGAAGCAACTTCTTCTGCAGCAGAAGCAGTTCGTTTTAAACTCCAGAAGACAGGCTGAGCGAGCGTGAAGTGGTGGGCGAGAATGTGTGGTGAAGAGGAAGGAGATGACGAGGGCACGAAGGAGTGCTGCGGCAGCGGCCAAGTTGGGCAGCCGAGCGGAGATTTCCAAAGGCCAGCGAACTCTTATGGCGCCACTGGATCCTGAGGGCAAGGAAGTCGTTACGTTGACCTTTGGGGATCCCAGCTCGGCTGCCCAACTTGACCGCTGCCGCATCACTCCTTCGTGCTCTCGTCTTTCCCCTCCTCTTCAACGCCATTCTTGCCCAACAATTTACGCTCGCTCAGCCTATCTTCTGAAGCTGCAAACGAAATTGCTTCTGCTGCCCGGTTTCGAGTGACATGCATGCATGCCGGCCAAGGAGAGCAAGGAGGAAAACGACAGGGCTGATTGTGAAGCCCTTCACGCAGCCTTGCAAAGTCGATTTCATCAGTGCCTTGCTTCGAAGGTTTGGCCCAACCTGCTGCTGCAGATATGTTGAATTGAAATCATATTTGAGAATTCTAAAAAGCGATTGCATTAGTGCCTCGAACGTTTGGCCCGACCTGCTGCTGCAGATGCAAGCAATCGCTCTGGCTCAATTCTCTATCCTCCTTCCTCCTCACCCTCCCCACCCTCACCGTCTCTTTGCCTGCTGTGTCGCGAGTGTACGACCTGCTGCCGCAGATGCCAGTTATTGCCAAGGCACACGAGCCCCTGCAAACCTTCCCCCCTCTTTCCCTCTCAGCTTCATCCTCTCCTTAATTCCTCCCTCCCTGCCCTTAGTGTCACGAGTGTACGACCTGCTGCCCCAGATGCCCGTCATCGTCAAGGCTCACGAGGAGTTCTGCCCTCCCTCCCTTCAACCACCCAACGCTGCCTCATGGCGCAATCCTCTCTCCTCCTTTCTCCAACCCACCCCGCCTCTCTTTGCCTTCAGTGTCACGAGTGTACGACCTGTTGCCTCAGATGCCAGCCATTGCCAAGGCTCACGAGGAGCTCTGCCTGCGCTTTACTGCCGCCATGAACAAGGTACGGTGGGTTGCAGTGCGGTGAAGTGTGGTACTATCGCCGGCCATAGGCAAGGCACACGAGGAGCTGTGCCTGCGATTCACCGCTGCCACGAATACGGCGCATGCGCTAGGATGTTCTATGGTGAAGTGTGGTGCAGCATGGTGTAGTGTGGCTAGGTGTAGTGTGGCTAGGTGTAGTGCGGTTTAGACGCCCCCCCCCCTGCGAGGCATATACGAGTAGAGTAGCTCTGCCTGCTGATGTATAGCATGGTGTGATCGCCAGCTTGTTGCTGTAAGCATGGTACAGTAGGTTGGGTGAGAGCATGGTACCATGCTATACTGCTGCGTAAGAGGCACAGGGTGGATGTGCACCGCGTGCTGCTGGAGGGGCTGCTGCTGCTGTGCTCGTTGTATCCCCATCCATCCCTTTCCAATTCCCCTCACACCCAGCTGACGGTCATGAAGTACGCGCGGGTGAAGTCTCGCTCCTCCCAGGCGAAGGAGGTGCGGGTGGAGGTGTACCAAGTGCTGCTGGAGGGGCTGCTGCTGCTCTCACCGCCTCACCCCTGTCCCTGTTAACCCCCACCCACCAACACCCCCCCACACCCAGCTGACAGTGATGAAGCATGCGCGGGTAAAGTCCCGATCGCCACAAGCGAAGGAGGTGCGGGTGGAGGTGTACCGCGTGCTGCTGGAGTGGAACTACCTTACAGCGCTCAATGTGCGTTCTGTATAACCCCCATCCACCCCTTCCCGATTCCCCTGATCCCAGCTGACGGTTATGAAGCACGCGCGCGTTAAGAGCCGCTCCCCTCAGGCGAAGGAGGTGCGGGTGGAGGTGTACCGTGTGCTGCTGGAGGGGCTGCTGCTGCTCTCCCGCTGGTCCGGCCGCCTGCTGCAGCACTTCGCCTGGAAGACCCACCTCGCTGCCTCCCACGCTGCTGCTTCTCCTCCTCCTCCTCCTGCCACCACTAGCTCTCCTGCTGCTGCTGCTGCCGCTGCTGGTGCTTCTGGTATTGCTGGTGCCTCCAACGCTGCTGGTGTGGCTGGTGGTTCTGCTGCTGCTGCTGCTGCTGTAAACGCCGAGGCAGCAGCAAGGGAAAGCGGGAGCACAGCAGCGGATGGCGAGCCGAGGAGGCTTCACCAGCTCTTTGCTGAGGCCGCTGGGTGCCCCCCTTCCCCATCCCCATCCCCGTCTTCCCGCCCGCCTGTAGCTGCTGGTACTGCGGGTGCTGGTGCTGCGGGTGTTGGGGGTGTGGGCCCTGGCGGAGGCAAAGGGAAGCAGAGCCTGAGTGCATACGAGCAGGTGAGGCTAGGTGGTCTGGGAGGCGCTTGGGCAGATGCAAAGGGAAGCAGACGCTGAGTGCATACAAGCAAGTTAGACCAGGTGGCGCGAAGGCAGGGTGGGGGGTGGTTTGGGCGTAAGGCAAGGAGTGCAGAGCCTGAGTGCATACGACCAGGAGTGAGTGAGGGTGCTCACCTTTCCCTCCTATCTGTCACAATAGTTCTCGCTCTCTGCATACACCTTTCTCTTTCCACCTTTATCCCGATACTCACAACATGGCTTCTGAGTTGGCGCATAGGGCCGCCCTGTTCGTTCAGTCGTTTCCTGTGGCCCCACCCACCCCATACCATACTCTCTCTTCACTCCCCCTGTCTCTATTCAGATGGTGCAGCACGGTTTCTCACAGGCAGAGCTGCAAGCTGTGCTACAGGTGTGTATGGGTGCCGGATCCCTGGCAGTTTTTTTTTTATGTTTAGGTGGTTTATGTTGTGGGTGTGGATATGTGTATGTGTTTGTCAGTGTGTGTGCTGTGTTGTGTGTGGGTGTGTGATGTTTTTTGTTTGTTTGAAATCCTTTTTTTTTATTGACTTCCTCATGTCTCCTCCTTTCTCATAGATGCTTACCCGTCCTCCCTTGCTCAATGATGCTCTTTCTCCTTCAACATTCCCCTCCTCAGCCGCTCCTCAGCCGTGCCGTGTTTTACGCCCTTTCCTCTGTTATTCCAAAAGGCAGGCGATCAATTGTTGATTCTCTCTCCTCTGTGCCATCCCCCCGTTCCCAGCCAATGTTATCTCACCCCTTTCCTCAAGAGTCTCTCATCTCCTGCACCCCTCGCGCCCCACTCAGCTGATCATCTCCAAAGCCTCGTTGCCTCCATCTCTCCTTTCTCCTTTCCAGCTGATCACATACATGAAGGGTGTAGCGGCTATGACGACAGCAGTGGAGGAAAACATTGCATGGGTACTGCGCTACGTGTAGAAAGTGTAGGACTTTCGAGACGTCTCAAAACTACACTTTTGAGACATCTCAAAACTACACTTTCTACACGTGACATCGCATGGGTGCTGCGTTACAAGAGATTACGCGATGTCCCCATCCCATCCCATCCCATCCCATCCCATCCCATCCAACGCTGGGACTTTCCGTTATTCTTCCATCTCCTCCACCCCTTCCCTCCCAGCTGATCTTCTCTCATCTCCCCCATCTCCATCCCTCCACCCCCCTCCCCAGTTGATTGCGTACATCAATCAAGGGCGTGGCAGCCATGATGACGGCGGTGGAGGGCGGCATTGCATGGGTGCTAAGGGAAGGCCATGCCTCTCATCTCCTATACCCACCCGCCCCCTCCCCCAATGCAGCTGATCGCATACATCAAGGGCGTGGCGGCGATGATGACAGTGGTGGAGGGCGGCATTGTATGGGTGAGGTGACTTTTGAGTCGACTCAAAAGTCACCTCATTGCATGGGTGCTGTGGGAGGCCATCCATACGTGAAGAGGCGATTTTTGAGTCGACTCAAAAAGGAGGCCATCCATACGTGAAGAGGCGATTTTTGAGTCGACTCAAAAAGGAGGCCATCCATACCCCTTTGAGGGGACTCTAATGTCCCTCGTCTCCTCCACTCCCTCCCTTCAGCTGATAGCGTACATAAAGGGCGTAGCAGCCATGATGACAGCAGTGGAGGGCGACATCGCATGGGTACTGCGGGAGGCCATCCATGCAGACGTGCAGGAGTTTGCACGCGTCTATGTCGCCTCGCTGCTCAAGCGCGTGTCGTCCTCTAATATGGACTCTCCTTATGCCAGGTAGGTGGTTGTTGTATGGCTGTATGCACCACCAGAGGCCATCCATGCAGACGTGCAGGAGTTTGCACGCGTCTATGTCGCCTCGCTGCTCAAGCGCGTGTCGTCCTCTAATATGGACTCTCCGTATGCCAGGTAGGTGGTTGTTGTATGGCTGTATGCACCACCAGAGGCCATCCATGCAGACGTGCAGGAGTTTGCACGCGTCTATGTCGCCTCGCTGCTCAAGCGCGTGTCGTCCTCTAATATGGACTCTCCTTATGCCAGGTAGGTGGTTGTTGTATGGCTGTATGCGCCACCAGAGGCCATCCATGCAGACGTGCAGGAGTTTGCACGCGTCTATGTCGCCTCGCTGCTCAAGCGCGTGTCGTCCTCTAATATGGACTCTCCTTATGCCAGGTAGGTGGTTGTTGTATGGCTGTATGCACCACCAGAGGCCATCCATGCAGACGTGCAGGAGTTTGCACGCGTCTATGTCGCCTCGCTGCTCAAGCGCGTGTCGTCCTCTAATATGGACTCTCCTTATGCCAGGTAGGTAGGTGGTTGTTGTCTGGCTGTATGCGCCACCAGACGCCATCCATGCAGACGTGCAGGAGTTTGCACGCGTCTATGTCGCCTCGCTGCTCAAGCGCGTGTCGTCCTCTAATATGGACTCTCCTTATGCCAGGTAGGTGGTTGTTGTATGGCTGTATGCACCACCAGAGGCCATCCATGCAGACGTGCAGGAGTTTGCACGCGTCTATGTCGCCTCGCTGCTCAAGCGCGTGTCGTCCTCTAATATGGACTCTCCGTATGCCAGGTAGGTGGTTGTTGTATGGCTGTATGCACCACCAGAGGCCATCCATGCAGACGTGCAGGAGTTTGCACGCGTCTATGTCGCCTCGCTGCTCAAGCGCGTGTCGTCCTCTAATATGGACTCTCCGTATGCCAGGTAGGTGGTTGTTGTATGGCTGTATGCACCACCAGAGGCCATCCATGCAGACGTGCAGGAGTTTGCACGCGTCTATGTCGCCTCGCTGCTCAAGCGCGTGTCGTCCTCTAATATGGACTCTCCGTATGCCAGGTAGGTGGTTGTTGTATGGCTGTATGCACCACCAGAGGCCATCCATGCAGACGGGCAGGAGTTTGCACGCGTCTATGTCGCCTCGCTGCTCAAGCGCGTGTCGTCCTCTAATATGGACTCTCCGTATGCCAGGTAGGTGGTTGTTGTATGGCTGTATGCACCACCAGAGGCCATCCATGCAGACGTGCAGGAGTTTGCATGCGTCTATGTCGCCTCGCTGCTCAAGCGCGTGTCGTCCTCTAATATGGACTCTCCGTATGCCAGGTAGTTGGTTGTTGTATGGCTGTATGCACCACCAGAGGCCATCCATGCAGACGTGCAGGAGTTTGCACGCGTCTATGTCGCCTCGCTGCTCAAGCGCGTGTCGTCCTCTAATATGGACTCTCCGTATGCCAGGTAGGTGGTTGTTGTATGGCTGTATGCACCACCAGAGACCATCCATGCAGACGTGCAGGAGTTTGCACGCGTCTATGTCGCCTCGCTGCTCAAGCGCGTGTCGTCCTCTAATATGGACTCTCCGTATGCCAGGTAGGTGGTTGTTGTATGGCTGTATGCACCACCAGAGGCCATCCATGCAGACGTGCAGGAGTTTGCACGCGTCTATGTCGCCTCGCTGCTCAAGCGCGTGTCGTCCTCTAATATGGACTCTCCGTATGCCAGGTAGGTGGTTGTTGTATGGCTGTATGCACCACCAGAGGCCATCCATGCAGACGTGCAGGAGTTTGCACGCGTCTATGTCGCCTCGCTGCTCAAGCGCGTGTCGTCCTCTAATATGGACTCTCCGTATGCCAGGTAGGTGGTTGTTGTATGGCTGTATGCACCACCAGAGGCCATCCATGCAGACGTGCAGGAGTTTGCACGCGTCTATGTCGCCTCGCTGCTCAAGCGAGTGTCGTCCTCTAATATGGACTCTCCGTATGCCAGGTAGGTGGTTGTTGTATGGCTGTATGCACCACCAGAGGCCATCCATGCAGACGTGCAGGAGTTTGCACGCGTCTATGTCGCCTCGCTGCTCAAGCGCGTGTCGTCCTCTAATATGGACTCTCCGTATGCCAGGTAGGTGGTTGTTGTATGGCTGTATGCACCACCAGAGGCCATCCATGCAGACGTGCAGGAGTTTGCACGCGTCTATGTCGCCTCGCTGCTCAAGCGCGTGTCGTCCTCTAATATGGACTCTCCGTATGCCAGGTAGGTGGTTGTTGTATGGCTGTATGCACCACCAGAGGCCATCCATGCAGACGTGCAGGAGTTTGCACGCGTCTATGTCGCCTCGCTGCTCAAGCGCGTGTCGTCCTCTAATATGGACTCTCCATATGCCAGGTAGGTGGTTGTTGTATGGCTGTATGCACCACCAGAGACCATCCATGCAGACGTGCAGGAGTTTGCACGCGTCTATGTCGCCTCGCTGCTCAAGCGCGTGTCGTCCTCTAATATGGACTCTCCGTATGCCAGGTAGGTGGTTGTTGTATGGCTGTATGCACCACCAGAGGCCATCCATGCAGACGTGCAGGAGTTTGCACGCGTCTATGTCGCCTCGCTGCTCAAGCGCGTGTCGTCCTCTAATATGGACTCTCCGTATGCCAGGTAGGTGGTTGTTGTATGGCTGTATGCACCACCAGAGGCCATCCATGCAGACGTGCAGGAGTTTGCACGCGTCTATGTCGCCTCGCTGCTCAAGCGCATGTCGTCCTCTAATATGGACTCTCCGTATGCCAGGTAGGTGGTTGTTGTATGGCTGTATGCACCACCAGAGGCCATCCATGCAGACGTGCAGGAGTTTGCACGCGTCTATGTCGCCTCGCTGCTCAAGCGCGTGTCGTCCTCTAATATGGACTCTCCGTATGCCAGGTAGGTGGTTGTTGTATGGCTGTATGCACCACCAGAGGCCATCCATGCAGACGTGCAGGATTTTGCACGCGTCTATGTCGCCTCGCTGCTCAAGCGAGTGTCGTCCTCTAATATGGACTCTCCGTATGCCAGGTAGGTGGTTGTTGTATGGCTGTATGCACCACCAGAGGCCATCCATGCAGACGTGCAGGAGTTTGCACGCGTCTATGTCGCCTCGCTGCTCAAGCGTGTGTCGTCCTCTAATATGGACTCTCCGTATGCCAGGTAGGTGTTGGTGCAACCCTACGGTTTGCACTCGGCTTGTTGTCCGTGTGCGTGAATGTGTGTGTGTATGGAATGGTATGAGGGCATGGGATAATATATATTTCATGCTTATAATTGTGTGTGAATGTTGAGTCATGATGTCGAGTGTGTGTGTCGAGTCAATAGCGAGTTATCGCTAGACGCGTGTTACGCGGTCGTTTGTGTCTCGCGCGCGGTTTCTATTTTGTCGTGCGCGGTTTCTATTTTGTCCTGTGTCGAACGTTCGGCGTGTCGCAGGTGTGTGCACCAGACCCATCAAGAACTCAAGGATGAGTTTGTGATGAAGAGCCCGAGCCTTGGTGTCAAGCCTCAAGTGATTTCGAAGCTCGCCAAAAGGGTACACCTCAAGATATTGAAGATAGTTACATTACTTTGTGTAGTGTAACATTTCACTTGGTGTAGGCCCTAGTGAAGGGTAGTTTCGAGACCCTTCGTGGTTGGGGACAGTGTGGCACTGTTCCACATCACTGTACCTCGGCTCTTGGGGTTTGTAGGAGCTGGGAGTCATTCCCAACTCGTAACTCTTCCTATCTTGTGTTCTAAGACTATAGTGGCTGCCATAGTACCGTTCGTTCAAACCGACGCTGTGTCGTCAATTCTTTATCAAATCGTGCAATCTAAATTGCTAATTGTAGACGACGTGAAGACGCTCCAGATCCAATTTGAATCAAGTCATTTGCAGCTGTGAGCAGAACGCTATCAACGTTTGAAGCCGCTGTGCAGAAATCCGTCTGTGCTCTCTATCTTTCGTTTTAGGCACATTCAAGCCTATTGTGACTATAACAAGTGGTATCAGAGCCCTTGGAGCAGTTTCGACAATGTCTGGACCTGAGGAAAGGGGTGGCAGAGGTGCTGGTGGCAGTGGAGAAGCTCAAGCTCAAGGCCAACCCCGTGATTCAGCCATGGCGCCCATGCAACCAAGTCTTGGCCCACCTAGGGATGAGCCTAGGGTGTTTGGGCTTGACAAGTTCAACGGTGACAACTTTGCTGAATGGTCCTTCAAGATGGAGAACATCTTTGACCACTATGACCTGCTGGAGGTGATGGAAGGAACGGAGAAGCGCCCCGAGAACGACCCGGAGAAGAGCCCGTGGGTGCGGAAGAGCGCACAAGGCTATCTCTTACTTGGGCAAGCGTTGGGGAGCAGTCAGATCCGTCACATCAAGCCATTCCAGCGTGAACCAGAGAAAGGACCAAAGGCATGGGCTGCTCTCAAGGGTGTACATGCTCCTGCAACAGCGGCGGTAGCGGTGGTGTTGGAACGGCAAATGGCGGCACTACGAATTGAAGAAGACGAAGCGGTTGAAGAAGGGGTGCAGAAATTCTTCGACTTGTTGACGCGGCTTGAGGGAGCTGATTTGAACTACAGTGAGCTCCAAAAGAAGACCAAGTTGCTGGCCTTACTCCCAGAGTCATGGTCCTCGCTCATCATCAACCTTAATCGCGACTTGCCCCGCCTCTCGCTTGAAGACGTGAAGCGAGCTATCCTTCAAGAGGATTTCTGCCGCCGTGATTTGGCGAGTGCGGATGGCGCTGGGGCAGCGAGCATCGGCCGTGGATATGGTCGAGGAAGAGACAGAGGACGAGGGGGAGGAAGGTTTGGTGGCAGCAACTTCGGCGGAGGCCGCAGGAGTGGCGGTTACGGCAGCGACGACAAGAGCTACGGACGCGGTCGCGGCCGATTCGACGGCGAGTGTCACTATTGCCACAAGAGCGGACACATGCGGCGCGACTGCTACAAACTCCCTGATGGTTGGACCCCTGCTCAAGGCCAAGAGGGTAGAGGAGCAGGA